AGCTTCAACCTGCTCGTCTTGAAACGGGACCATCTACTGACTCCCTGAAATCCTCGTGTGAGGACGAGATGAGAATGTACGGGAGCGACACACAGTACTGGTGTCCTGTACGTGCTCGTTCCTCTGATGACCATGAACAGGACCAGCCCAGGCCAGCTTTAACTAGATGTGGGGCCAGATGTCCTCTCCTTCCACATCTGGAAGGAGCCAGGCTTGAGAAGCAACATGCCAAATAAGGATCAGGAATTCCTGACTTGTCTGTCAGCCCAGGGAATGAGTTTGGGACAAGTGCCTTGCCCTTCTTTGGGGTTAGGTTCCCCTGGCCACCTGGGAACCAAGCAGAGCCTTGTGTCTGGATGCCAGGCTCTCTGGGAGCTGATAAGAAGCAATGCTGTCCTCTGTAACCACATCATCCACCTCTGGGTCTGCGCGGGTTCCCTTCAGAGATACGTTCCCATTGGGAGCTGCCGCCTGTTCCGGTGTGTCCTACCTCACTATGTTGATAATCTCAACAGGGAATAGGGCTTGAATTTTCTGCTGCATGGTTGGAAATATCTGGTCAGCTATTTACCTGAAATACCAGGATTCCTTAGGCCTGGCTGGAAGCTAGAAGCCAAGGATTGGCCTCTTCTGATAAGCAACTAGCTTGAGTCTGCTGCCCACACCTTCCTCTCTGGTTGTCCCATTAAGAGCTGTATCCAGATCCTCAAACTTGAGAGTAGAGATTCAAGATGGCGGCTCACACAGCAGCAGAGAAAGGAGCAGACACAGAGCACAGACTCTCATGTTCACAATCCCATGAAAGTGGGGATGGGGTAACGGGTTCAAGTCTAAGGAACCGTCTCAGAGATGTACAGTCCTTAACTGCTAGCCACCAGTGCCTGAAGGACAGCCTCCTCTCATCAACCATTGACCTGATGAACCATTCCACGCCTTTATTTCTCCCATGGAAAAACCCTATCTCTCCCTTTCCAAAACCTCTTCTTCCCTAGGGCCAAAGAGCAACTTCTGGGCACAGGACTCAAGTCCCCACCCACTTGGTCTGGTGGAGACCTCTCAGGTGTTCGTCTGGTTGGAAATGCGCAGCTCCCATTACCTGAGCTCTGTGGTATCTGGCCAGGTACAGGGGAGCTGTCATCCTTTCCAACCCCACAGCTCAGTCCCTCCCCCACGCTCCCACGTCAGGAGAACAGCCAAGGAGGGAGAGGGAAGGAGGGGGCCCCCGCTGGCCAAGATTCAGGGCCTACGTCTTGGAGGTGACACCTGAAGGCCCAGGAAACAGACCTCCCCTGATGGTAATGGTCACTGGCAGGGGGATGAATGGCCAATATAGAGATGCCAACTCGGCCTCAGCCTCACATGTCCCACCACACGACTTCTTCAGAACCCTGCACACGACTCACGTCTCTAAGAAGCTAACCAGCCTCACAGCTGTGATCACTCCAGGCCCCAAGGTACCCCAGAACTTGACCGGCATTCCAGCTCTCTCTCTCTCTCTGTGGTGTGAGCTTCTCTTTTCAAATGCACACCCGTGGCGCAGTGGAATTGTGAGCCGACAAGGGCGGGGCTGTGTCTTCCTTCCTTGCCTGTCCCTATGCCTTCCAAGACACAGCTCTCCCCCTCCCCCCAATCGGAGCTGAGAGACCTGAAGGTCAACAAAGGTAGAAATGGGGGTCTACGACTTATTTTAAGTATTTCAAAACTATTCCACGCAGTCCTATGTTATAGGGTCTCTCAGACTCATCAAGAGATCAAGTTTCTTTGCTTTTATCTGGAATGATGTCAATTTAGAGTGGCAACAAGTGCTTGTCCCAGGCTGACAGGTCTGAACGACTTTCCTTTGATGAATTTTTAAAACAAATTAGCACTCAGACCCTGTAAAAACACACTGTTTACAGCTGACATTTCGGGGAGCCCCACCCCACGCCACCCCTGCATACAGGATGCAGGGCACGCAGGAGATGGGAGACAAGGGCCTGGTGGCCTGGCCCTGGGCCGGGCCTGAACTAATGCGAACTTTCTCTTTCTTCCTCCTGGGTCACTGCTGAGGAGTCAGGCGCTGCCTTCTGGCCTCGGGAAGCAGTGGAAATGCCAGAGTCTGGAACCTCGAGCCGCCTGGGATTTACACACTTGACCATACATGGGAATTGCCCCTGCTGACGTCAGGCGAATTCCTGGGCCGCTGCGTAGTGCAGCCGCGTCAGTACCACAGAAATTCCTGCCAACCGAAACCGCAGGGAAGCCGCCTGTCAGCACGCAGGACCCCCTCCCTGCCCCTCCACCCGCGGCTCTGCTGTGCGTGTGCCTGTGTGTGTGCGTGTGTGTGTCTTTTTCTCAAGCAGGCTCTTTTCCAGGCTTCTTCTCTCCCCTGTAAACCTGGCCCGGAAATTCAAACACCACAGACCTGGTGAAAGCATACCCACCGGGTCTGGGGCTGACTTCCAGGGGTGCCCCCTCCTCCCTGGCCATGCAGCAGAGTGAACACCTAGAGGTCTGAGTTCTAACCCAGACTCCATCCACGTTCACACTGGCAAAGCCATATCGTCCTTAGTCTATAAGCCGCTGTCAAGCGCTCTATGAAGTTCATGTGTTTCACAAGTGGCTGACACTTCCTTAGTGAGTTGATCTAGAAATAGGAAATGTAGGGGAGCAAAGAAAAACGGTGACACAGTGACCGGGCGTGGGTGTTGGAGGGAGTCTGCCTGTGTTTCAGTGGCAGCTCAGTACTGACCAGCTGCAATCCTGAGCAAGTTACGACCACCTCCGTGCCTCAGTTTCTTCATCTGCAACACAGGGTCCGTGCCCACCTCATGGGTTGTCCACGATGACACTCATGAGGAATTAGGCCAGTCCCTGGTGCACAGCAGGTGCAGGTGTCTGCTTACTAGTATCTTAAGGAAAGGTCAACTCAAACACTTGCCAGGACACCCAAATAATGGCAACGGTTGACTTGGAAGAAAAGGTCCTTTTATTCTTACTAGTCCCTCTTGGACCTCAAAATGTTTAACGCCTGACTCTTCAGTCCTCAAGCAAGCCAACTTTTCACCATAATCCAGGCTTACCTAAACAGTTCAAACTTCAGCAGCCCATCAGAAAAGCCTTCCGCATCTGCTTTCCCCACCAGGAGACTCCCAGTGAATAAAAACTCTGCCTTTTCCCCTCACCTGCTCCTCAGTGCCACCACACAGAAACACTGGCCAATAGCCACTTGAAGGGTTTATGAGTACCCAGGAGGGCAGCTCAGCGAAAAGCCCATTCCTACCCTTTCATTCAGCAGATATTTACTGACTGCAAACCAAGAGTCAGCACTACACTCCCAGCTGCAACTCTGGCCCAGTGAGGACGCTGGCCCCAGAGGCCGATGTCGGCAATGAGAAAAGAAAACACCTGGGCCAGGAAGGACCATGCAAGGGCAGCCCGGGGCAAAGGCCGTGGCCCTCCTGTTGTCACATTTATCACAGTCCAGTGCAGGGAAGGTGGGCCTGCTCTGCAGTTTCTTTCCTGCATCCTCCCCAGACCCTCTACACCAAGCAGTGCCCTGACCCTTGGCCCACACCACACCCTCTGCGGACAAACTTCCTTCCCTGTCCGACTGTCCCCCGCCCTGGACATCCTCCCTGAGGCAGGGCTCATTCCCTGGGAGCCTGTGAGCAGCACAAGACTGGATTCAGGGAGGGGCAGCCGAGGGCTGGGGACAGTCTCTCTGCAAGAGGTGGCCCTGGCTCCTGGGCTGGAGCCCGGCTGGAGGATCAGGAGGCTGCAGTTGAGCGAGAGCCACTGAAGCTCAGCACTCCCGCCCCAAATGCCCCTGGGAGGAAGGCCCCCTGCACTGAGACGACAGAGGGACCCAGCACCTGCATCCCCCGTGCTTCTCGTGGGGAGAGGGGACGTGGGAGAAGACAGTAACTGAGTCCCCTGCTCCAGGGCTGTGCAGCACCGTCCCAAAGTGCCGTCCCCAAAGGGCACCAAGCAAAGTCACTCGTCCCAGGTCACGGGTGTGAAGCAGCAAACCCAACCATCAGGACTCAGTCCACCTTCCCCACACCCGCCCACCAAGATCCCAGCCACCTCCTTGTGTTGCCCTTCCCACCAGAGCCTAGTGGATGTCCTCGGCCCACTGTGACAGGACCCCAGCAGAGCCCTCTGTGCAGGGGAGCGCCTGCCCATTCATTCACCCCCCAGAGCAGGGGTGGGTGGCTGGAGCCCAGGCCTCTAGGGAAGGGCCTGACCTCTTGCTCCTGGCTGACCCCATCCTGAGGAGGTGACAGCAGCACGGGGACCAGGAGCTGCAGAATACGCCCAGGCCTGTGAGAGTAAATACAACTCCAGCCTCAGAGCTGCTTGCTGGGGAACACACTGTCACTTGCTTTAAATGTGCTCGATACCAGCCCTTTTCCTGCTCTCCCGCCTTCAAGGGCTGAGGCCATAAAACACTCACTGCGGGATCTTGCAGGCTTCCTAATGGTCTCCACCAGCACCGAGACTCGGGGTGGGGGAGTGAAACGCTGCACCTTCCATCTCGTTCTCTCGCACACCTGCGCTTGGGGCACAGATGCCCCAGGCCGGCCATGAAGCCAGATGTCCCCGCCCCCCGCGGGCACGTGCTCCCGGAGCAGGAGGGTGAGGGCGGGGTGGCACGGGTGCCCTCATCCCCCCGCCGTACAATGAGCGTCAGTGGCGCGCAGAATCGCTGATTGTTCTGCGGCCAGAACTGCCGGCGGTGCGGGGAGCGGGGCGCCGGGTTGGGGCACGCGGGGACCTTTGTGTCCGGAAGCCCCGGGCGGGGAGGGACCCAGCGCCTCCTAGAAGGAGCAGCGCCGCCCTGGCTAACCGCGGCCATCGCTCCAGCTCCTCGGCCCACTGCAGGCCCCCGGCCGCGCTACTTTTCCTTCCAACTTTCCTCGCGACCGACGGGGCCGCGGAGGGGGAAAGACCAGGGGGCGCTCGGTGCGTGCAGCGCGCGGGCGGGGACCGCGCGACCCCCGGGCGCACTCGCTCACCTGGCGGCTAGGTCACCTGGTGGCGGGCTCGGCCGGGCGGGCAGCTCTCTCCAGGCGGTGGCTGGGTGCGCCCGGCCTGCGCGCCGTTTTGTTCCGCTCCGGGAGGCGTGTCCCGGCCACGCCAACCAGCGGGCTTTGCACACTGCACTACCAGGCTGATGTCACGGAGCGAAGCCCCGGGGCGGCCCCCCCAAGACCCGGGGCGGCCCGCATGGCGCGAGCAGGAGACGCTGGCTCCAGCGTCCCCGCGCACCTACTGTGCGCCGTTGCGTGTGCGCGCTGTGTACACCCACTGTGTGTCCCCGCGGACCCACTGTGAGACGGCTGTTTGTGACCCACTGGGCCGCCGTTGCGTGCTCCCGCAGTGTGTGACCACAGTGTGCCCACTGTGTGTCCCACTGTGTGCCATGGCGTCAAAAACATCTTGCACATGCCCATAACCTCTCAGGGTTTTTCTGTCAGCCAGATGGGAGAGCGGAGATGTGATCTGAGAGATCAGATCCCTGATAATCTTGCACCCCAAAAGAAAGGGGGGTCTCACATTTGCATGTCCTGGTGGCGAGGTGTAAGGGACACATTTGGGCACCAGAGTAAGACAGGCCCAAGCTCTGATCCTGACCCTTCCTCGTCATAGCTGGTCCCTTGGCCTAGACACTTAGCCCCTCTGGGCCTCAGGTGCCACATCTGTGAAAGAGGTATAATCTATAGTCCTATAATCTGCAGGATGTTGTGGGGGACTGAGGTTGTGCAGGACTGTAAGCTTCCAGCAGCGGCCCTCTACATGGTAGATACTCAATAAATGTCAACTCCCTCCTCCAACGTCTTTTGTCCCCTCAGCTTTCGGGAACCTTCCCTGCTATCCAAAGGAGAACACCCCACTCTACCCCCAAAAACAGCAGTTCTGAAAAGTGGGTGCCTTGGCTGGAGCTTTTCTCTGGGCCTCCAACCTCAGTACGACAGACACAGGCCACTCACCGCTGCCCCGGGGCAGTTACCTGCGGGTGTGCCATCTACCCAGTTCCCAGCCCCTCCTGGGTGCCTGCTGCAGCAGTTCAGAGGGCAGAGATGCTCGCACGCTGTAGAGCTGCTCCCTGGCCAGCATAGAGCCTGCACCCCTTTACTGGATGCAGGGACAGCCCGGAAACCCAGTGCTCTAGACAGACGAGGAGCTCCCCAGGCCGGTCCTCCGGACCCAGGAATTGGAGATACTGACATGCCCAGGAACGAGGAGCGGAACGAAGAAGTGAGAGCCTCAGGGAGACAAAACAGTATCCTCCCATTTGTAGATTTTTGTAGGTTGTTTACTACATTTCCAAGACCAAAGGGTCTTATTCTCCACAGTTGAATTACATGATTTTTACTGAGCGGGAAACAAACACTCTCAGATCTGGGGCCCACGTTTCACTGTGATTGTGTGTATTCTGTGGGTGTGTCTGTGTGCAACTTCCTCCTGCTTTCTCGGGATCTAGAGTGTTCTCTAAGAATGAGCTACCACAGTCTCCCTCTGCCCGTGGCAGTTAACCGGGGGCAGGTCCTGGAGGATTTGCTGGTCACCCCTCACCCCAGGTCACTCATAGATGCAGCTGCCTCGTCTTCCAGCCTGGACGGCTGTCGAGCGCTCAGGTCTCCACAGGCTGGATGCTCTCTTCCAGGAATAAGGTCAAGCATTGTATAATCCAGAAAATGAAGTCTTTGTCTAGGTTTTTCTTGCCTTTTGCCATAAGAAATATCTTTCCTTCTGCCAGGCCCTTCATAACACAGGGCCCTCCAAGACTGGGACGTCTACAAGCACCCAGCAGTGTTTCTTGCAGATTGAGCCATCCTCATCTGACCCAACCAATAGGTACGAGGAGAAAGCAGGAGAATTCCTGGTCATTCCCGCACTGAGCAAGTAATAGACAAACGGGTACATTGAATTCCAGAACTCCAGTCGGTGTCAGAGACCCTGGGCTTGCTGCTCAAAGATGGTGGTCCCATAGGATTATCCCCACTCCCTTCAGTTATCAGGATCCTGGAGAGCTGAGCCGTGGAGTCTTGTCCAAGATTTTAGAAAAGGGCAAACTCCTGCACTTCCTTCTTTGGTCTGGGTTTGTGGTCTCTGGAGTGGTGGGGCAGTTGATGAATGTGGACCTGCCAACCTGTGCTGTGAAATGTCCTCAGGGAAGGTCCAGGGAAAGGAGAGCAGTAACCCCAGTCGAACTTGGGTTTCTCCCAGAAGATCCTAAAGCACCTTGTAAATAGAGTGGCTGTATAGTGTGTCATCCAAACTGGGACGCTGTTGATAGCGAACAGTGTAGCAGCAGTATTCATAAGTACACTAAGCAACAGGACTGTCCTGGGCAAACCAGGACCAAGGCTCACCCTGCGTGTCCACCCAGGGACTGTGTCTTAGGAGCTGTCTAGGCAGAGCTGGAGATAAAGGAAGCCAAGTGGGCCCTGCCTCGTCTGCTGTTTTTCCAGAACCTCTCACCTCGGTTATGTCACCCTCCCTGCATGCTGCCACGCATCTGGGCTTGGTCTTGGGTAGCCCTCTTGCACATAAAGGAGATTCAGGGAGGTAGAAAGGACCTCGGGAATGCGGCGAGTCAAAGGTGTGTGAAATTATCAACTGTGCAAACAGGCACAAGCCCCATGTTCACATCGCAGGAAGGCCAGTGAACCATCAGCCCTTGGGGCGTCACACAAGCCGAAATGTCCTTAAGGCAAAGACACTCAGTTACATAACTGAGCCCAGACTGGCTCCGCCTAGCCAGCTGCACCCACCTCTGAGGAGACAACACAGTCAGAGCTCATCACCAAGAGAGTCTCTGCTGGGGGCTCTAGGAGGAGTCCTGCCACACACAGGGGCTTGGTTGCTTCTCTGGACTCTCAAAAATGTCTAAACTTTCCAGTATCCTCATCTTCTCTCTGTGCGCACCACCCACCAATGCCTCTGGACTGGTACTCAGCACTGGGGAAAGAGTAGGGAGCCCCTGCCCTCCAACTTCCACTGCTGCCTTCTCTGGCCTCTTCTCCTCTTTCCTCCCTCATCAGCAACCTGATGTCACACCTTCTCTCTTCCTTCCTGCTGCGAAGTATTTCTTTTCCCATTAAGCTCAAGTGAGGGGGACCTGAGTGTAAGGCTGAGGGAAGAGTGTAGGAATGTGGCTAGCTTAGATCTGTCCATCATCCCAGAGAGCTTAGAGATCCAGGCTGGGCCAGAGATTTCCCCTTTGTTCATCCATGCCTCCATCCATCCATCCATCCATCTGTTCAACCATCCATCCATCCATCCCTCCCTCCCTCTATCTGTCCATCCCTCCCTCCCTCCATCCATATATCCATCTGTTCATCCATCCATCCATCCATCCATCCACCTGTCCATCCATCCATCCATTCAGCAAACATTTACTGAGGTCCTACTCTGTGCTGGTCATGTCCTACAGATGCTGGGAATACGGGGAAGACTGTGACTTGGATCCTGACCTCAAGGAGTTTACTGTCTAGTGGGTAAACCAATGTCAGGGCCCCCATGTTTTTCAGGGGCTTGAGGGGAGGGGTATAGAGCACAGTGAGCAGACAAAGGATCAATGCTGAATTCTCTTTCTGTGGGGGAGGGCACAGAGCCAGGAAAATTTTCATAGAGAAAGTGAGATAGGATTGGAGTCTTGGCCAGGAAGCAAGGAGAAGGAGCAAGATCCTGGAACAACATTATTCAGCCAGGGAATTGCAAGTTTGTTGGCAGAGCTGACACCTAGAATGAAAGACACAGTTCTGTGAGGGATGGTGCTGCCAGGTAGGCAGGGACCAGAAGAACATGGTGGCCACTGTAGACCATTTGAAGGAGGGTGGACTGTTCTGAGGACAGTGACAGCCTTTAAGGGTCTTAAGCAGGGAGATGACATGGACAGTTTAAAAAGCATTTTAGAAAAATGACTATGACTCCCTATGAAGGCCAGATGAGAAGGGGGAGAGGGGAGTCAGAGGGCCCGTTGGGAGATTATTCCAATAGTCCAGGAAAGAGATGATGGCTGGCAGTAGCCCTGGGGATGGATTTGAGAGCTGTTGAGGCAGAATCTGCTGGACGTGATGAGCAGTTGGCTCCTGGGGTGGGGTGAAGAGTGCAGCAGAGAGGAAGGGAGGGGTCAGGCTGGGTTCCCGGGTTGGCCAACTCACCGAGACAGGTAATTCAGGGGAGCTGCAGGCTGAGGGGCAGGGAGGGGTGATGGATTCCCTCTCAGATTTGTTGGGTTTGAGATGTTTGAGGAACGTCCACATGGAACTATCTAGAAGGCAGTTGGACACAGAGGGCAGAAGAGGGGCCAGGCTGGAGATGGAGACGCTGGTGACTTCAGTCTAGAGAGAGCTGGAGAAGAGGAGCAGGTTCGGGACCCCGAGGGACACCAACACTCGAGGGGGCTGAGAGCCCGCAAAGGAAACGGGAAGGAAAGATGAGAGATGGAGGGAGAAAGCCCTTGGCAAGGAGGCCAGGGAGGGAGCTTCAAGGGGGAGGAGCCTTGTCGGGCACAGGCTGCGTCTCTTCTCCGCGCCTTCCAGGGAGCCCTGGGAGGGGGGGACACCTGGGAGGGGTCCAGGAAGGCGGATGCCAGCAGGCTGAGACACTCTGTCCTCCTTCCCCTCCTCCATACCCCTGAAAAGGTGTGACTGTCGCCCACATTCTCCTTGGAGGGGTTGGAGATCTCACAGAGAGCTGAAGAAGTGAACGTGGGGAACATGAGGGTCCACGCAGTGAAGGCTTCACTGCACAGATTAGACCATTTGTCGAGAGGCCTTGCCTCTCACGTCTCCCGGGAGTATTTGAAGCCGTTTCGTAGCTGAAATGGACCCCAAAGAAAAGCAAGACCCAGGTCACCAGGAGTCACTGAGCTGTCAAGGATCCAGGACTGAACTTGCAGATTGAGGCCAGCTCTGTCATCAGCCATTAAAGGTAATATTAATAATGACAGATAATTCTGGGCTCTGACTACATGTCAGGCACTTTGCACCATCGTCTCCATCAATCTTCACAGAAACCAAGTGATGAGGGACTATGTGCACCCTCCTCAGAGTGGGAGAGAATCAA